TTATTTAATTTAATTTAATAAACTTAATTAATTAAATTAATCAAATTAAATTAATTAGCTTAATTAATTAATTTAATTGCTTAATTTAATTAATTTAATTAAATTTAATTAAGTAATTTAATTAAATTAATTAATTTAATATATTCAATTTCTTTAATTTATTTAATTACTACATTTCTTGTATTCATTTATTTTACTTATTCATTTTCTTCATTTATTTTGTTAGTTTGTTTTATTAATTTGTCTTATCAATTTGTTTGATTAATTCATCTTATTAATTTGTTTGATTTGCCTGTCTGATAAACCCTAAACCCTAAACCCTAAACCCTAAACCCTAAACCCTAATCCCTAAACCCTAACGCCTATCCCCCAAAACCGCAAAACCCAAACCCGATCAATTAATGAACCAACTAAGCACCAAATAAACAAACGAATAAACAATATTAATTAATTAATTAATTAATTAATTAATTAATTAATTAATTAATTAATTAATTAATTTATTTATTTAGGGGGCCTTTTGCCAGTAATAAACGCTTTGAAAAATGAAGAAGGCCAAATTTCGCAAGCTGTTCTCTTGGCAGTTTTCCAAAAGGTATTTTTAGTTAAATGAAATGCCATTTTGTTTATTTCATTTAATTAATTGCCATTAATATTTAGTTAATTAATTAATTCTTTAATTACCTAATTAATTAATTAATTAAATTAATTAATTTGCCAATTAAATGATTAATTCATAAGTTAATTAGTTAACTAATTAAGCAATTAGTAAATGAGATTATTAATTAATTAATCATTCAATTAGTTAGTCAGTGAATTAATAAATAAATAAATAGATAAATAAATAAATAAATAAATAAATAAATAAATTCACTGGCTCGCTATTTATTCATTAAATTGATTTTCTTCTCGAAAGGGTTTAGAAACCCGTTGTTTGCTTTTACTCCCTTTTAGGGTTTAGGGTTTAGGGCTTCGAAAGAAATAGGTTAATAACTGCTTCAAAAGGAGTTAAAAGTGGATAATTTAATTTTTCAGAATTTACAAATAATTGACTGAAACAGAAACTAAAAACAAACAATTTAATCTTTTAAAACTAAATATTTAATTTAACTTAAAAGGAATAAAAAGAAATAATTTAATTTTCAATTTTAAATTCTTTTTGCTGCAGGTGCCCAATCTGCTGCTGCCGCCCGCTGAACTCCGGGATTCAATTTTACTGATTTTGCAACAGGTAAAAATAAATACTTTTTAAATTCAAAAATCCAACTATTACAACCTTTTGCTGCTGCCAGCAGCAGCAGCAGCGGCAGCAGCGGCAGCGGCAGCAGCAGCAGCAGCAGCAGCAGCAACAGCAGCAGCAACAGCAGCGATAGTAGCAGCAGCAGCAAGAGCAGCAGCAGCAGCGGCAGCAGCAACAGCAGCAGCAGCAACAGCCAAAGCAGCAGCGAATGCATGCGTTGCATGCATTAGTCGGGGCTTATAATCACCAAATTAAAATAAATTACATGCATGCAATCTGTTGGGCTTTTAAGATTTATATCTGTATGCTTTTGGGGCTTTCATGCTGCCCCCAAACGCATGCATGCAAACCACCTGCATGCATCCGCATAAACCACATGCATGCATGCATGCATGCATGCACGCATGCATGCATCCACGCATGCATGCATGCATGCGTGCGTGCAAGCCAGCTGCATGCATGCGTGCATGCATCGAAGCATTCATGCATGCATGAATGCATGCATGAATGCATGCATGCATGAATGCATGCATGCATGCATTTGGTGTGGGCCCTGCGAGGTTGCATGCATGCGTTAGATTTTGGGGCTTTCTTTGTCGGTTGTTTTTTGATTTTGTAGAGTTGTTTGTTTAAAGAAACAATCAGCAGCAGCAGCAGCAGCAGCCTGCCTGCTGCTGCACTGCAGCACGCTATTGAGGTCTTCATGAAACTGGACGAGAACCAAGTAAACCCTAAACCCCAAACCCTAAGCCCTACACCCTAAACCCTAAACCCTAAACCCTAGAATTGAGGCCCTGCCAAGGCAGCGAATGGATTTGCTTCCTTCTCCTGAGCAATTAAATGAAACTTGCTGCTGCTTCTGCTTCTGTTTGTTTTGCTGCTAGATAGAGTTTGATGCAGGGAAGCTGCTGCAGTCGTTTGCTGCTGTTGCTGCTGCTGCTGCTGCTGAAGCAGCAGCAGCACGCCGCGCAGAGCGGCTGCAGTCTTTAGCGGACTCCAGAGGAATTGCTTTTTATGCAGCAGCAAATAAGAACATAAGCAGCAGCAGCAAAAAGCTGTCCATCATTCCAGACAGCAGCAGCAAACAAGCAGCAGCAGCAGCAGCAGCAGCAGCGGCAGCAGCAGCAGCAGCAACGCCGCAGGCAAAAGCAACAGGTTTGCACCACAGCTGCGTATTCATATTTTTAAATTATTCATTTAATAGATTTTTAATCTGTTCATTTGATTAAAATAAGTTATAATTGTTTTCTTTATATTAAT